GTCTCGGATCACATTGAAAGCCAAAGGAAGACCAAATGGAACACACTGGGTCCACTGTATAATAGGATCAAACTGGGATGTACTACCCCAGATGTGATACCAAGTAACTAAAAGTGGCTTCAGCCAGAAGGTTTCATCCCGAATATGGCCTCCAAAAAATCCTCAGTGTCAAAAGGGGAATGAACTACAGTCCCATACCCGGAAGAGATGGGTATGGGACTGGGACTGTAGTTCAATTCCCCAGATCGGTTGATTGAACTACAGCAGCTTCCATTTGGTTTTAATATATATATATATATATATATATATATATATATATATATATATATATATATATATATATATATATATATATATATATATATATATATATATATATATATAATAAAGGCTGTAGGCGTATTTTGCTACACATGCATCAGTTGGTATCTCACACATTTTAAACCCCCGAGGAATGAATTTTTTTCTGGAAACACGTTGGGTGGTCCCACCTATCATCATCTTCAGATGGAAATGAAGATTTGCTTTTGCTTTTGTTAGTGGGCAATGTGGGATACTTCCTATGTAGGTTCTTTTTTGTGATGCATGTATTTTACACAACCAGCCATTGAGTTTTTTTTTTTTTTTTTACTATTTTATCATTTTGTATAATAATTTTTTTTTTAATGTATCAGTTTTAGCGAATTACATCATAATTTAACTATCCAAGGCCCACCACCAGCACAATGGGTGGGAAGATCTGTGAGTGGGAATCCCCCGGCCCATCCTCAGATCTCCTGTGTTAAAGTGATTCTAAAGCTTTAAGTTTTTTTTTAACCTTAATGCATTTTCTGCAATGAGGTAACAAATCTTCTGTGGCCAGGACCCCTACCCCAGCCCACTCTTAAACTTTCCTGAGCCCGATCTCGACAGCGCTCTGCATGAGAGCAGAGGCCCTCTCCCTCCTCACAGGGCAGATTGATAGCATGCAGAGTCATTGGCTCCTGATGCTGTCAATCAAATCCTATGACGAAGAAGCGCGGGCTGGTAAAAAACCCTGCTGTGTGTATGGACGCCACTCACACCTGTTTGTGTGGGCCTCTGGTGAAACTTTGAAAGATGAAGGGAGATTTGTAAATCATGGTCTGTTCCCACCAAAGTTCCACCACACTCTCGGGTGAGCTTAGGATTCTTCAGGGCGTTTCCAGTCTGCGCAGAAGAATGTCTCAAATAGGTATAGTAGAAATGTTTCTGCAGTTCTAAGAGCTCTAAAAAACCCAAGGTTTGGAACAGAAGGCTGATTCTCTAGATTCGGGGTCTGAAACAACCCGCTCCTGTTAAATTTAATTAACGGCAAATGACTGCAGTGCCTAAAAAAAAAAAAATTTTCAGGGTCAGACATATGGGACTTTGAGATCCTAGTCTCCATCTCTGATTTCGATTCAGACTCAGTTTGGTTTAGGGTCTCCATAGAGTCAGAGACTGACTTTGCAAGGGAAGGTGCTGGTCCATGGTTAGAGATTCTGTGGGCAGATGGCCCCAGTAGATAAAAGCAAACAACTAAAATGTCTCGAGTGAATAGAGAGCTCCCGAAGCTTTGACACAGTAAAAAATAAACAAAAAAACGGCGGTGGTTGGAAATCTGAAATACACCCAATGTTGCAAACAGTGAGATGCTGTATGTCCAGTCCAGGTACAGCCCTCAAAGCTATGCTGAAGAAAGGGTGATGCAGAGAGTTGCAAAATAAACACCAGCTCGAGCAGCTATGTTGGTAAGAGCCCTATGACCCTCATGATGTGCCACCAGGAGTAATCTCGAGCTGGAGCGGTTAGCGGCCCCCATCACCTTGTCGATCTTTTCTTTGGGTAAGAAAAGCCTCTGGAACCTGGAGTCCACTACGTACCTCAGGAACAGTTTGGTCTGGGAGGGAGTCAATGAGGACTTTTCCCGATTGATGATCCACCCCAGCCATTCCAAGGTGAGGATTCATTTTTCCAGATCTCTCAGGACTTGTTGCTCTGAGAACCTGTAGATCAACAGGTCATCCAGGTAAGGGATGAGGGAAATGCCCTGTAGGTGTACATACTCCACTACCTCGGTCAGGACTTTGGTGAAGATTCTTGGACTGGCCGCCAGCCTGAACGGAAGGGCTCTGAACTGCCAATGACTGACCCCCTTTCTCCGTGAATATAGTGAACCGCAAGAAGGCTTGGTATTCTAGGGCAATGGGAACATGGAAGTAGGCATCCCTGAGGTCTACCGTGGCCATAAGGACTCCTTTGAGTAGAAGTTTGCAGATACTGTAAACACTCTCTATACGGAACTTTTTGTACAGCAGAAAGTAACCTTTTTAGGTTTTTTCTCTGATGGCTTTGGGACCATGAAATTCTCTGATGGCTTTGGGACCACGAACACAAAAATCCCTGGAAAAGCTGGTCTGTCAGCACCAAGACAATTACCTCCTGATTCGTTAGATCCCTGATCCCCCCCAAGAGGTCCTCTACCCTTGCCCTGTCTCTGGGGGAAAGGAGGTCAACAAAAATACATGAGGGGGGGGAATGAAGAGAACGCCAACTGATACCCCTCCTTTATCAACTGCAGGATGTATGAGTTGTCCAAAATTTTCCCCCACTGCTGGAGGAACCTGGAGAGCCTTTCGCCCACTCTGGGAATGTCAGTGGGGATCCTTACTGGTGGGTTTGGAGCTGGAAAAAAGGAAGCTCCCTTTCGGTCTCCCCTTACTGGCCCACTTCTTGGAAGGGTCCTTCCTAAGTTTGTGTTGGCTCTGATTAAGGGAGGCTCGAAAAAAACATCTTAGCCTTATCCCTCAATCTTGACAGGGAAATTTCTTTCCCTTTTCAGCGGATCTAGATAACACCTGTTCCAACCCTGAGCCAAACAGCAAGGAACTCTCAAAAGGCAGACCGCAGAGTTGGGTTCTTGATGTGTGATCACCCTCCCAGGGCTGAATTAACAATAGCTACCGCATTAGCTGATGTTTTGACCATCTCTACTGCAGCGTCAGCTAAATAGGAGACTACTTTACTGACCACTTTCCAGGGATTGTAACACCTCTTCCGTCTGGACTTCCCCCTTTTTCTTGGAACCCCGAGAGACATGTTCAATTACACTATGCATCCAGGCATCAGTATTCCTAGTGATGCAAGCAGATGCCAAGGCTGGGGCCACGGTAGCGGCGTTAGCCTCCCAGGCTCTACGTAACAGGGACTCAGACCTACGGTCCATCTGATCCTTGATGTTACTCGAATCGTCAAAGGACAGGTCTGTCTTTTTAGACACTTGCGATAGCGCTGCATACAATCTGGGGGTCCTGAAGAATTTCTCTTCCTCCTCTTCCCCAAAGGGGTAACATCTTTTCCAGGTCAAGACTCTCCCCTGACTGGCCCACTTCCATCACAGCAGGGCTCCTTTGAGACTGCATTGCCTTCGCTGGGCCCTGGATATGTTTCCAGGGTTAAATTCCTGAAGTTCCTCACCGGCCTCATCAGGAAGGAAAGATGCTGACGGGGGCCGCCATCGTTAGGTACCGCCCCCCACTGGAAGTAACTGAGAGCAAGGCTTGGAACACAGCCCTGCTCCTACTTCCAGTCCTGTGCCATCCAGAAGACTCAGGGAGCTTGGACCAGCGTCTGATCCCTTCTGGCCACAAGCTTCTACCCGCTAGAGTGACCACACAGCCCAGTCTTCTCCTGGACAGACCTCACTGCTACCCTGATGAGAGGGAGGAAGGACACTTGTCCCGGGAACGCCAGGCACTCTTTCCCAGTGCCTGGAAGGTTCCCTGCATTCAGAAAACCCCTGGATTGGGTAAGTGACCCCCGGGTGCAGCCTGCCCTCTCTGGCTCAGCTGTTCACCCCCCAGCCCCCCCCCCCCCCCCCCCCCCCCCCCGGCCTGCGGTCAGAAAAAAATAAATGTTTCGCTGCCAGGAAACACAATCAAAAACTGTGGAGGGGAGGAAAGGGCGGGGAATTTAAACTCAATTTTTGATTGTGTTTCCTGTCAGATGGAACTGCTCAGGAGTGCTGTCCTGGAACATGACTGGAGAAATAGACTTTTTTTTCAGCAGAAAAGGCGTCCAACCTCCTAGGGAACAAGCAAAAAACTGAGGCATGCTGAGCAGAGGAGGGGTTATCCTGGGGCTGACCAACAATTTTTCTGTTTTCCAGTGCACCAACCTTCTGTAGACAACAGAATAACCGGTTTCTGAATTTGTGATCTCATATTTACCTGTTCTAATACGTGATGCAGATTATGATTACATATAATAGGATTTTTGTACTTCCTGTAAAAACTTTTTCTTGAAATCCATTGACAGATAGAAGAAGATGGTAATTCTTTAGATATTTGGATTATACTGTTCCTTCTGGAACTGTGGACACTTGTAAAAAAAAAAAAAAAAACCTTAAGCCATCCTCTGTATAACCTTTGCCTCCAACCACCATGCATCATTTTTGTGAACAAACAGTGAATAAAGGTTAAAACCACAAGGGTAGAACGTGTCCCTAAATGTACCTCATGAAAAATGTTACAGTACATTAAAAGAAAAAAAAAATCTTATTTTCTTTAACAATAATATGGCAATTCTTAACTTTTGGATTGTTCAAAATCAGTTCAAGTGAGGGTTTGGCAATAGCCACCAAAAAGATCCAACGAATGCGGAAATCTTAGCATCAAGAGATAGGAAAATGAACACTTGAATGAAGGCAAGATAAAAAAAGGGAAGGCAAATATGGAACCTAGTGTTCCACAGCAGGACAGGTAAACAATCCCTAAAAGTAAACTGCAACCTGAAGAATGATAGACCTCAGCTTACAATGTGGAGGACAACCAATCATCCCACAAAAGGCGTACCAAGGATGTGGTAGCATTTCCTTCACATTCGATATGTTTATATCAGATTTGTAACATAAAAGGAACATTTTAGGAAGTTTATTCTTATATGCTATATATCTATTAGTAGCACTGGAAAGGTAAAAAAATAACCACCACCATACTTACTGGATTTATCAATGTCTCCCGACCCGCCCCATGACCATCGTTTCTGCCTCTGGTCTAACTGGCTACTGCGTTCAAGAGTACGTCGTAAGGTTGCTTCCCTGCGTTCCTACAACAAGAAAGAAATCTGGTTGCAATATACCACATAACTTCAACACCTAAAACATACATTTACTCTTTGTTGTCACTTTAAAAAACTAAAGTGGACCATCCCTCATACAGAGTAAGGATACTGCAGCAATATCTTAAATTTCCAACTACTAAGTCCCCAAGAGCCTTACCCACTGCAGAATCCCACAATTCTGGAGATGAAGTATTCGCTTTCTAAGAACACAAGGTTTTTACGTATATACAAATGTGATATTTTTATGCTCAGTCATGAAGGAGCATATAACAGATTCATACATTTCTGCAGGAAATCCAAAGAGGATTTAAAAAAAACGGACACTTTAGTGTACAGACCTATTTGGAATATACTATTCTGAAAATCTATGGAAATATATTTGGATGGAATTACATTCATACCAGTGATTAAGGGACATATTCATAATCCTCGAATGAAACCAGATCACTCACCATTATGGATTTGATGGCATTGACATAATTTATAATATGGTGCACATAATTGTCAGTAATTAGAAGTTGATGATTAATCTATAGTAGCAACATTTTTGGGTTATGTTCAGTCAATGCAAATGGACAAACTTTATAAACAGCATGGGATGTAGATCGTTCTGTCTTAGCATAGTTTGCCTGTCTGTCCTTTCAAAAAAAAAAAAAAAAAAAAAAATCATATCTTTTTAAATAAATAAGCTGATTGAATTCACATTCTTCTCTGGAATGGATGTATCCACTCATCCATGGCAAATAAACCCACATATTTATTTATATCAAGTTCAGACAGTCTATAACCCAACGGCTGTTTTTGACTCCCCCCCCCCCCCCCCCCCCCCCCCCCTTCCCCAAAGGCACCTGTGTGGCTGGAGGAAAAAAAAATGATTTTGACACCAATTAAAAAAAGAGGAAGACATCTGAGGAGGTCAATTGAAGATGTAACATTAAGAGAGTAAACTTTACTGTAAAACTTTATTACCTAAAATTCTGACAAAGCTAGAACAAATCAGATATAGTAAACAATTTAATATGTACAGAATATTGCCGCTGGGTTACAATTTTGACAGATTCCTTGACAAATGGAAGGGAGGTATGTAGAATCAACACTTTTGCTGTGTTTCTGTTTATATACAGACGAATATAAAAGTAAACTCGTAAACGTACCCACACGTACAACCAGATGCCTCTAGCAGCTGGTCTGTGTCCAAATAATTTAATTACATTTTCTTTCAAATGTTTATTAAATATTGCAATTTTATGATCTGAAAATTAGGCTGGCCATAGCATGAGATGATCAGCATCCAATGCACCAATTTCAGTCATCAGACATTTTGGGGGGAAAAGAAAAAAAAAATCATATTGCCGTTTTCTATGGAATTCAACTGCTGGAAAGATCAATACAGGTTACAATCTGACTTTGCAATATCTTTAAAATCTACTAACCAGTGCAAAGGCCTGAATTTTAAACTGACTGGATAGTTTAACCACCAGTTTGTAGATTGCAGCTGGTAGAAAAGGAGGAAGGAATGAGTTTGTTTAGCTGGCAATGGTCTTTCTGGTGAAACTGATTTGGGCAGCTGTAAAGCCAACTGATCACTGCCACACATTGTCAAATGTACCACACCGCCTCATGACTGCCACCTACCATGTATTCCAGTCTTCTCTGTCCCACCAGTGGGCCTGTGACTGGCATGGCACCATCTGTGCTCCATTAGCTTCAGTGGAAAGCAGGGAAGACATCAGGGGTCTAATGGAACCCTGATGTCTCAGTAAAGAGAACCGGTCATTACAGTGTGCTATCACACAAAAGCCCTCACCCCCTGGTGATAGCAATAAAGTTTAAAAAAAAAAAGAAAGTTAAGAAAAATAAAAGTAACATATTAGGAAAACACACACACACACACACACACACACACACACACACACAATAACCATTTGCCCTCCAGAGGATTTACCCCCCTTCCTGACCAGGCCATTTTATGCATTAAGGTGCTACGTTACTTTAACTGACAATTCATGAAACGCCTAACCCAAATTAAATTTATGTCCTTTTTCTCCCCACGAATAGAGCTTTCTTTCGGTGGTATTTGATCGCCTGCGCAGTTTTTTAATTTTTTTGCGCTATAAAAAAGACCGACAATTTTGAGAAAAAACATTTTTGACTTTTTGCTATTAAACGTGTCCTGTAAAAAATTTTCAAAAATCAAATTTCCTCATAAATGTAGGCCAAAATGTATTCTGCTACATCTTTGCTAAAAAAAAAAAAAAAAATCCCAATGCGTGTAAATTAATTGGTTTAGGTGAAAGTTATAGCGTTTACAAATGGTGGTATATTTACTGGGCTTTTATTTTTTATTTTTAATAGCAATAGTGGCGATCAGCGAATTATAGTGGGACTGCGGCGGGCATTCTGACACTGGGGGGAACTAACGGTGTCATTGACATCCCCAGTGACACCAATATAGTGATCAGTGCTAAAAAAAAGAGCACTGACACTCTACTAATGGCACTGAACATGAAGGGTTTAACGTGGGGCAATCAAAGGGTTAGCTGTGTGCAGTTTTACAATGTGTGCTGTGTTTCTGCTTCACTGTAAGCACACTGCTTTGCATAGCTGTGCTGTGCACAGCCATGAAAAGAAGTGTGCAGGAGCTGACAGGGAGGAGAACTGTTTTGCCTACTAACAGTTACTCCCCCCCCCAGAGATCCTCAGCAATCACTGGGTGCTGGCGAGTAATCACCAGCTAGGACCGGGTGACTGACAGCCGCCAGTTGCAGCGTGCGCCCCCTACCCGGAGATACAAAATCACATATATACCTGATTTTGCGCACTGCTGTTGCCCTGTAGCAATATTTCTGCTATGGGGCGGAGCTGAAGCAGTTAAATCCCCTTTTCCCCATGTACACGCACACATAACATAAAAGAGTTGCTAATGGGCAATTTTGGGGCATGCATAATTTCAAAGCTTTTATGTGTTTCACGTGTAATTAACTCATCACAACCTCCTCTTTTATAGCGTATGAAAAAAAAAAAAAAGGGCAGTGTGTGTGTGTGTGTGTCCTAACCAATCAACTTTAATTCATTTTTTTTCATTAAAATATGGTTTAATAAACATGTGTGCTACTACTACCATTTGTCACTGTCATTATATCATATAGGGCAAAAACACTATTAGCAACCAAGAAGAGGTAATTGAAAAAGCACAAGCCATGGTATGAATACATTATCTTTTCCAGTCCACTGAATACTCCTTGGAGTCCAGTTCAAGTATAACGAAAATCTCCTTTGTGACAGTGTAAACGCATCACAAATGCAGTTTCGACTTGATGCACTTACTTCAAAGGTAAAAAAGGGGAAAGCAAAGAGAAGGCTGTAATGCAGATTTTTGGAAACTGATCACCAAACCAAAAGCCTGGAGCAACTGAACTGTCTTGTAGATGATTGCAGTTAAGCTGGAAGGAAAAGGAGTCCTTCAGGAGGAGGCTCTACATAGACACCAAACAATCCCAGGAGAGTGCCCAACTGGGGATCAGGGTGTTCAGCACAAAGCAGGTGACTGACAGCCTCAGCTGTGCAGGTTTCCCTTTGAGGCTGTGAAGGGGAGGTGGTATCCTTTCCCTTCACTCAGGTCTCAGATTACACTCAACTTTCCTCTCTGCGCTGTGCAGTGCACAACATTAGATCCTTGCTCCCAGCCTTCAGAAGCTCAGAAATGCTGTGTAAAAGTGTTTGCTTTAGGAGGCTGCACAGGAGAGAGGGCTGCAGATAATCAGGTACAACTTATTTAGGAGGATTTCTTTATCTCTGTATATCTTCTGAGGCCAGTTGGTAAGGTTTTATTGACCACTTCAATATCGTAAAATGGCCAAGTCAGGGGCCAGGTCTCATTGTAATTGAAAACTGATCACTCAAAAAAAACCCACACAAGCAGAGTTGGGGCATTTTTGTAAGTAGTTAATGGGATTACAGTGTACAGATGTGCAAAGTCAACAAAGATCTATTCACAGGATCACAAGTTTGTAATTGCAGCCAAAAGTGAATCTAATACTACTGACTTGAAGGTCTAATATTTTGTAATTTTTTTCATTGTAAACCGTTTAAAAAATTACTTTGCAGAGAACTGTTTTCACATATTAAAGAGCATATATCTATAGATAAATAAAATTAAATCTACTGCGATACCTAGTTCCATGACAATAAAACATCTTGTTTGTGCTGAAGACTACGCTGGACTGACTGGATCAGTCACTAGTCGTAGGTGGGTGGTTGTGTGGGTGGGAAGGGAGATGTTCCTCCAGTCGGTTGTGCCCAATGGTGGATACTGGCGGCAAACCCTCTTAGGGTTTGGACTGCTGCCTTTCTGTTATGATCTTAAGGTCATTTCCACATGTACACTTGGAATAATAGGAAAGAAGGAACGCCAATGCCATTGCTGCCCCTGGAAAGACAACGGTCACTGTCAGTTTCTCCTCCAAAACCAGAAAAAGATATAAGTGGAATGGGAATCTCTCCCATTTAATAGCGTGCAGCAAAAGCCCTTTTCTTCCGAAACACATTGGTGTGATGTACTTGTCATTATTCTCAATAAATGCCTCAATCTACCATCAAAATGGCAATCTCTTGGACATCGGGCTCTCCTTTCCGATTATTCCAAAGGACAATAAAACATGAAAACTTTCAAGGGGCAGAATACATTTTAAAGGCATTTACATTGTACCCACTGTAGACAGAAATAGATCTATCAACTGCAGTCACCAAGATGTAAGAATCCAGGGAGAAACTAAGCCTGCACATATCTATATATGGCCAAAATGCCATTGATACTGTCAAGAAAAAAAAAAGTGTTATTTATATAAAAAGACTTTGCACCTACTCCCACCATAAACAAATGCTATGCTAGTAAAAAGCATGTATACTTTGGAAAAAAATTGTTCATTTTTCTTTCAATACTAAACAGAAAACCATTCTAATCTACACACCTGCATTCTTTTTTAAATATATGACCTGGTAAACACAAGTAAAAAATTTACTTCATAGTATATTTTAGTCATGATATAGAAAAACACAACCACCTTTTCTTCATGTAACTTCTGTTTTCGCTTTTCTTCAGCTGCTGTCCTCTTATGCTCATCTTTTTGTTTTTGTTCTTCAAGTTTCTTCTGCTTTTCCTCCATATGTTTCTCGTACTTTAGTTTAGCTTTCTTTTCTTTTTCAATTAATTCTTTTTCTTTGGCAGCTGTAACACAAGGAAAATATACAATGACAGCACAATGAAAACTGCAAAGTGAAAACAGGAGGGTTCTTGCATTTATTCATCTTTACATCCATAGTAAGCACACTCCCATCGTTCTCTTCTGTTCTCCTCCTCAGGCGTTACATTTCCATATCTCCTTTGTAGAACAGCTATACAGCTGTCCGCAGTACTGGAGAGTTCCTGTATACAATTAGCTTTACCTACTCAGGGACCCATCACCATCTTTAGCACTGCTATCATGTACAGTTGTACCATCCAATTCCCTGGCCCGTTTCTCTCTACATTTACTGTCATTCTGTGTCCTATCTGGTCTCCGCAGTCTCTAGAACAGTGGTGGTAAACTTTCTTGATATGGGGGCCTCGAGTGCAGCCTCTGACATCACCAAAAGACTGCACATAAAATTCTGTGAATATTCAGTATTAAAGAAAGCAGACAAATGACAATCAAAGACTGAAGACATGATACAAGAGATGGTCAGAGACTGCAGACATGATAAAAGAGATGAGCAGAGACTGTGCATATAATACAAGAGATGGTCAAATGTGGACATAATACAAGAGATGGACAGAGACTGCAGCCATACTACAGGAGAATTTCAGAGACTGTGAACATGCTAGAGGAGTTGTTGAAGAATGAAGACATATTACAACTGGTTACTAGAAATCATTGATATAACAACAGGAAAATCAGAAAGCACATGGTAGTGTCTGTACGGGCCTCAAGAGCACTGCCCTGCAACACAAGTTTGTGCGTCAAGGTGCACAGCATCAGGTAGTTATTCAAAACAAGGTGGACTGTAACTCATCTCAAAACATAAAATTTAGCGAATGCTGCATTTTTTTTTTTTTTTTAAGCATAGCGCTGGTGTAATTTTTAGAATAAATGACACCAAAACACACATGGTATAAAAACTAATGTGCATGTGTGAATACGCCCTTACGGTAGAAATGCAAAAAGAGTTACTAAACCCAGGACCCTGCAATCACTATATCTGGTCTCCCACAATATACATAACATGTAAATGAAATTGTTTTAATAAATATAAACTGCTAAATACCTTTTCTCATCAGCAGGTAGAGCAGTCTTGTGACTACTATCAGTGTCCAGCAGAGCATATGTTAAAGCTTGCAGTTTTCTTTCTCCCCTATGAGGCTGCAGGACACCTGACCCTCTGTCTGGACAGTGCTGTTTGGCCCTTTCTGATCACATGCACTCTCCCAAGAAAAAAAATAAAAACCTCTCTAGCAATACACACCAAAACTAAGCATGTGCAGAGTGACTCCACACGATATGTGTTAGCATGAGATAAGAGGGGGGCACTGGAAGAAGGGTAGGATCAGAGAAGTCAGGATCAAACAGCATTTTTACACAGTGCAGAGGATTAACCCCTTAGGCTCCACAGTGAGTATAACAAGCATGTTTTACTGCATATACAGACTGATTTTACTGTTGTGGGTTTAGTAACACCTTAAGTACAATTAATCAATTGCCTTTTGAACATTAATAAATAGGCTCAACTGTTTAAAATATGTTCATATCCTTTTAGGGAAATTTTTTTCTGCAAGCATAATCCAAACATCTTTACAACTTTCCCTACTTTGGCTGCTCCATGACTGCAAATCGTGGACAGGCCAAGCATACTCATTTATGTCTAAATAGAAGAGAAAAGGGATTAGATTTTTTATCAAAAACAGCATAATCAACTAGTCTTTGTGGTATTAAAATACCAAACCTCTTTTCTGGGTCACAGGAGTGCACTTATTTCTGCACTTTTGTGACCCAGATTTAGCAGACAGTGGGCTTAAGACGCCACAGAGCTGGCCCAGGCTCCAGATGGAATCTGACAATGTCAGCATCAACTCCGATGCCTGACCAGAAGCTGGCTCAGCCTCTCAGAGCACAGGAAAGTGCAATCCTGAGGTATCAAAAACACTGTATGAAAATTGGCCCAGGTGGCAGCTCTACCAAAACTGCTGATGCAAACCCCTTTCCTCTGGTCCATCCTGATACCAGACTTGTGAAATGACCTCTAAATCCACTAGGAGGCTTTACTTTAACCCCAAGGAACTACTAACACAATGTCAGGTCTCAGGACAACTTTATTGAAACCAAATCTTCTGAAGGCAACAGGGAAAATGCTTTATACATTGGTAGTCATTAAAAACAATAAAACCCTTACAGTGGTGTTCACAATGCCACACATAAAAATAGCTAAAAAGACCATTGGTGTAATGCTGCTGGCTTTGCCGTGTGCCTTCGGCCCTGGAACTATGCAGGCACCATCCATTGGGAGGTCAATCCACCACTATTCAAGGAACCACTAGCAGCCTCCAGAAGAACCCTAAGTAACCATGGAAAACCAGTTGAGAATTCCTGATGTAAAACATTCACCAAAAAGGTGAATCTGATTCTTAGACACCTTAACAACTCACTTGGGTCTTGCAAATAGCACCAAAAAGTCTTTTTTTTTCACTTTCTGGAAGTTCCACTTTAAGGCCTCCCCCCCTTTCACATTTGGCAATTTGTTTTGGGGGGGGGGGGGGGGGCTGGCTGGAGCAGTTACCTGATTTTGACAGGTACCCGCTCAACTTACGCACAGATCGCATAAGCAATCCGAGTGGAAGCACACCTTCCCCCCCCCCCCCTCCTCCCAATTCGCAGTCTTCTGGGGCACAGTATGGGTCCCAAAAGACTACGGGACCAATCATAGTATGCTGAGCCGCTGGCGGATCCGCAGTGGTCACCCGGCTGTGAAGCCACAAGCTGTCACAGCCAGGTGTTCACAGCTAAGATGCAGGGGACCAAAGATGGTACCCGGCGCCCCTTGGGTGAGCACACTGCTAGATCTGGAGACAGGCAAATGTCTGTATATTAAAAGTCAGCAGCTAAAGTTTTTACAAAAATGACTTGAGCTCCGCTTAAGGAAAAAAAATAGCACAGCTCTTTATAAGATATTGCTTTGTATCCTTGGGTAGGTTTGAACATGAAAGGAAGGAATCATTAATTCCTAAGCCTTGTGATTTGGGATGAATTTTATTCAGATCTATTTGTAAGAACTATTGAGCCCTGGAAAACCATACAGTAGGATTCCATGATAGCTAAACCATGGCTTCCACTGCAACTTCTGGTGTGTTCAACTAGCTACTCGCAGTATGGTCTTAAAAATAATGTCCTTTTCCATCAGAGTATAAAGGGGTAAAAAAAAAAAATAAATAATAATCAGCTCCTGGTGTTTGAGAGGGTAGACAGATGAACACTTTAATCACTATAGAAAAAAGAAAAGCAATTGCTAGATTGCCAATCAGTCACTAACCCATGCAGTAGTACTTGGGTGTAAAGGATTGGGCCTTTGTGTATTAGATCATGGAAGTATCCTCTGGGGAGTCCCAGTACACTGTCTAAAAGGCTTGACAATCCCAAGGGGCTCTTTGGCCATAAAGGGCTGCAAAGACATCCTTGCTATCCCCCCCCCCCCCCAGTCCCCCGGGTCATTACAGCAAATAACTGGGAATTCAGGAAAAACATAAAAAACAGCAAAAATAAAACCTAGGGATGTGGAATGTGCCCAGGTCCTGACCACAAACATTTCCTCTAAGGCAGTGGTCTCCAAACTATGGCCCGAGGCCGGATATGGCCCTTTGCTTGCCTTTATCATGCCCTAGATGCACTACTGCGCCAACTGACACCAATGATGAGATACCTCTCCTCTCATTGACAGCATCAATGGGGCACTATGCCTCCCACTGATATCAAAAGGGGTACTATTCCTAACATTAAAACCAATGTCGGGGCATTGCTGGCTTCCACTGACTTCAGTCTGGTTCACCCCAAAACCTGAAGGACAGTAAACTGGCTGCTGCTTAGAAAAAAAGTGTGGACACCCCTTCTATAGGGGAAGGAGTTTTGGGACATTCCTATTCCTAGCAGGCAGGTTAGTAACAACAACAGACTACTGCGTTATTTACAGCTCTGATATACCAATGAGTATTTAAAAATAAACTGCATATGAGAGATGTGTTTTGACAATCAGATACTTGCATATGCCTATACAAACATGATATCTCTGTCTTCCAGCAGATGCAATAATAACTCTCACTATACATAACAGTGATACCTATGAACACCTAGACAATAGCTTCTTGTATTTACCTATTACTTGTTTTACTGTCCCCCAGTGACGCATTTATTAAAAATACACACACCCATACCTATGATGTTCATCTGAATGCTGGTAGGGCAGATATGTGACTGTTTTGTATACTAAAGCTCCTAATACACCTGCAGTTAAATGCACTATTAACCAGGAAGGAGCTCGGAAAATATGAACATCACTATTCACAAATGTCAGGTGCCCTGCCCGGTGTTTGAAGTCTGACTCCACTCCAGGACCAGGGGGCGTACAATGATACTGGTGTGAGTTTGGCTAAGCAGATCACTACTTCAGGAGACTGAGTCTGCAGCAACAACAGAATAGACATTCACATCGACTTGCAACACCATGTTCTGTTATAAAGGCTGTATAAAAAATACAAATTGTCTTGAAATGAAAAAGTATACTCACCACACAACCTCATGTATAGGACCTAGTGTTGTAACTGATATGGCTTCATGTATTGTTCTATAACATGAAGAAGGCCTCCTTCACGAGTTATATGCTTTAATAAGAAAGGTATTTCTTAAGGCCAAGTTCATCTTTAGTAACATGTTACATTTGTATTTAGGGTGTAACTGGTTGCTATGCACCTCACCCTGCACTCCCGGATTCCTCCCCATGACAGCAGGCAAGGATCCCCTCCCCACACCCGCAGTCACTATTTAAAAAAAGAGCAGCTGTGCAGGACTCCACCCACAAAGCAGCATCATTCATTCACACAGATCTGTGAATGAGCTACATGTCTCATCTGCCACCACAGCCAACGACTCGTAGATCATAACTACTTGCCGCACAGTCACGTACATGACGGTGTTCAAGCAGTTATGCCAGGGCTATGGCTGCAGCTGTCAGCAATAACCCTGGTATCAATTTTCTTCGCCAGCGATGCCCTACATTGGAAAAGCAATCCTAGCGGCTAATTAGCTGCTGGATCTCTTTTAAAAGCGGTTCCCCCAACTGATGATAGAGCTGATTGGGGACCAGAACATCCCCAATCATCTCTATGGTCTAAGAGCTCAGAAGCGCCAAGCATTTAGTCACTTCCGTATAAGGCTAATGTAAACATTTTTTTTTTGGGGGGGGGGGGGGCATTGGATCAATATTGTTTTTTTTTGGTCTCATACTTTCAAAGGTAAAGGAGAGAGCTGGGGTCACACTGATGCAGATCACCACATAAAAACAGAGGGAAAAAAGCCAATGAAAAGAAAACTGGTGTAGCCACCACATCTAATGATTGGTAAGCTGCAAAATAATACATTTTTGGTTTAAAGTTTAATACTGGTAAGCTTTACTGGGCCTCCATGCCGTTTGTTGCCTTTAACTGCCAAAACCCATGGCTAGGCATCAAATGACATGAAATGGCAAGCAAAGGATTAAAAAAAGCTCACAACTACTTTAGATTGTTTTACTTTCAACGCCTTGCCTTTCTGTTGACTGTAGTGATCTGGTTAGCTTCACCCTAGGTTCTCCGTTTTCCTTCAGTCTGTCTGCTGGCTGTCAAAATCAGAAAAGTGAACAGGGACATTGGTAAATATGACTCATATTTACCAAGCTCCATTTGAGTGTCAATGTACCCAAAGGTTCCAGGTTCGGTGTGAGAGGGGTGACAGGTAATGAAGTGACCAGAAAATGGAGCCTGCCTTTGAAACATGCACTGGAAACATTGGTTTAGCCACCTAAAGTCTCAAGAAGTAGTAACTTTAAGATAGATATATATATATATAGATAGATTGATATCTATCATTTGTGAAAAATGGAAATCAAAATAATAAGATGCATTAAAACAAAAAAAAAAAAAAAAAAAAAACCCATACCCACATTCACATTTCTGGAATAGGAATATTACTCTGAAAGCTACATTTCATACATACAATACAAGGAATGGTTTTCTCAAGCTGACACACACCCCAGTTTGTTACAGATCAAAACATACCATTTATCTTCTCTCTTTCTTTCCCTACGTTCCCGAGCTAGTCTTTGTCTCTCATCAGTTCTTAAAGCTGAGCCATCAATTACTGTAGAAAAAAAAAAAAAAAAAAAAAAACAAAATGTGATCACTTGATGCAGCGGGTTATTTTATTCCTTGTAAAATGTTTGAGAAATGAAGATTACCTGGCTTAGTTGTCTTTCCACTTATGGTGGAATGGACAGGATTGGGACTAGAGCCAGCCTGGCTTCTTCGTTCATCAGCAAGTGCTTGAGCTGCAGCCACTATTTCCGTGAAAATGAAGAAAGAAGCATTACTAGATGGCTGATAAATGAACATTCACAACTTATCAAAATGCTTTGGTTAGAGAAAGCTAGCACACTATTTAAAAGAATATACAGAACAATTATATTTGACAGTGCACATATTTAAAAAGGTAAAAAAATGAGTACAGAGGAGAATAAGGACCCATGAGCACTGAGCTCTTGGGGTGGTTACATGCCATTTAGGGTGAATATACACTAAATGCGGTGACAGACATTTTCCTGCATGGTGCAATGTCTGTCACTGCAGGGACACACAGCAAACAACTGTTTCCTATGTGTCCCCTTCGCACCGCAACACACCCTATGGCTGCGCTGCTGTGTGCTGCGATCAACTGCACACATGCTGCATTTTATCAAATCACACCATGCCGAATCATTTGGCATGTACAGCAATGCAGCACGTTGCACGATGTACATTCCTAGGAAGTGCATGTTTTGTACACTTCAAACAGTGTTTGTACCGAAAAGAGGGAGCTGTGTGCTGCGATGAATGGTGCAACACACTGCTCCCTAGCACAGTCAGCAACAGTGAGCTGTCACAGTGGTAAAGTGCACACTTACTGTGAATTCAGATTTAGTAATGGATTGGAGGGCTGGCTAAAGCTGCCTTTTAGCTGAAGGTTTTCCAACTTGCTCTACTAGCCTCCTGTAACACTCTGCTGGTATCTGAATTCCTATTACAACATGCAGAATGGCACGGTTCAAAACCATCAAAGCACAAAAGAAGCTTTAAAGTGTCTCTCCAGACAAGGCATTTGTTTTCTAGTTTTGGATAGAGTAGGGAAGGAATATAAACTCTGAATTTTTATCATGTTCTGTGTCCTCATTAGGGAAAGTTAGCCTTATTTGTTCTGAAGACCGATGTTAGACAGTGATTGGAGACCCAAAATATTTTTTTATTTGGTGGTGACACTTCATTTTTGGATGGATTTTCAATTATTTCCTGTTCTGTCTCTGGGACAGGAAAAAGGGATGAAATCTCCAAAACAGGGCAAGGACAGAAAAAAAACAAACAAACCACTAACCAGGCGTCAAACCACTCTCTATTCTATACAAAATTTGAAATCAAAATTGTAGCCAGAAATATTTTCAAAAAAGGTAAACACAAGTCAAAATTGAAAATTAGGTTTACAAACGCATACATCCTACTTGTTCAGAATTGTGTCTGTTTTTCATGCATTGCAGCTGTGCAGGAGACTATTTCATCAATCCTATCTGTCAGTAATCTGGTGACTGGGAACCCCTTTTGCATATCTGCTTGTAATGCAAGTGAGCAAAACCCAAACACTGACCCATTGTAGGATAGTTGCTGTCTCTTACACACAGAAAGCCTTATTTATCAAAGTGTCAGTAAAAAGACATTTCTCACAGATACTACGTAGATTTCAAACTTGTCTTGGAAGGCTAAATCAGATCGGTTATGCAGCAGGCAAAAGGGAGAAACTAAATCTAAAACGTAAGCATTTACTATATTGCAGTTTACCAATTCTTAGAAGCTGCATTCATTTTTTAGACTTTCTTTTCCTTTATTTTCACCTGGTGATCTGGCCAGTAAGTCTGTTATTCAAAACAAGCTCTCTTGCAGATGTAGCAGTTACAGGGATGAGACAAACCAAGGGTAGAGAGGGCTGTGGACTGTTAGGCTTCATGTAGAGGAGCCTGCCCTGATCGCCGGCCGCAAGAAAAAGCAAATTGCAGCAAAAACGTGCTACCGCAGTTTTGGCACGTTTTGCGTTTTCCCATGGTCAGCGATCAAACTTTCCTATCCTGGACGCGATTATTCTGCGTTCAGGAGAGGGAGGTTAACCTCACCTAAATGTGGCAGCTCCTAAACTCTTCTAAAAGTCAATGTGTACATGGACACATAGGCATTTATGGAGTTGAGTTTAAGAGCTTTGGCAAAAAAAATGCCAAAAGCTCCTAAACTCGAGTTTAGGAGCTGCTCATGTACATGAAGCCTTACCATGTTTCGTGTTGCATCCTAAATTGGAATGTAACATGAATCATGGTCAGAAAGTTTGAGTTATCTTTTAAAGCAAACCTCTAGTATATTAAAAGTTTATTTCAATACCACGTCATTGTGCTATATCAGATAGCAATTTTAAGACTGGTCAGTCTTCAGTAAATTTCAATGGAATAACTAAACAAACATATCTGAGGCAAGATGTCTACAAGAACTAAAGGTTTACCTCAAAATACATCTGTATTGGGTTTAAAAAAAAAAAAAAAAAAAACGCTATAAGGTGCTAGACCAGGGTGGTGGGCAAACTTTTTGACTTGAGGGCCGCAATGGGTTCATATATTGGACCCGGGGGCCGGACCAAGAGTAGATGAATGATGTGTATGTGTCATCCATAGTAAGTATAGTAATATTCCCCATAGTAAGCATAGTAATTAATCCCCCATAGTAATTAATCCCCCATATAGTAATTAATCCCCCATATAGTAATTCATCCCCCATAGTAAATTCATCCCCCATATAGTAATTCATCCCCCATATAGTAATTCGTCCCCCATATAGTAATTCGTCCCCCATATAGTAATTCGTCCCCCATATAGTAATTCGTCCCCCATAGTAATTCATCCCCCCTATAGTAATTCATCCCCCATAGTAATTCATCCCCATATAGTAATTCATCCCCCATAGTAATTCATCCCCCATATAGTAATTCATCCCCCATATAGTAAGTCCCCCATATAGTAATTCATTCCCCATATAGTAAAGTCCTCCATATAGTAATTCATTCCCCATATAGTAAGTCCCCCATATAGTAATTCATTCCCCATATAGTAAGTCCTCCATATAGTAATTCATTCCCCATATAGTAAGTCCTCCATATAGTAATTCATCCCCCATATAGTAAGTCCTCCATATAGTAATTCATTCCCCATATAGTAAGTCCCCCATATAGTAATTCATTCCCCATATAGTAAGTCCTCCATATAGTAATTAATTCCCCATATAGTAAGTCCTCCATATAGTAATTCATTCCCCATATAGTAAGTCCCCCATATAGTAATTCATCCCCCATATAGTAAGTCCCCCCCCTGTGTCAATTCACTTACCTTTGGTCGCGCGTTCCTCTCGTATTCCCGCGCCGTTCTGGTCTTCAGGGAGGACTGTGAGAGGAGTTCGTCACGCTGCCCCGCCTACATCCTGACAGCTGCAGAGTCCTGACGTCCGAGAGGAGGGAGGGGGGCGGCCATCCGAGAGGGGGGGCGGCCATCCGAGAGGAGAGGAGGGGAGGGGGAGAGGAGGAGAGGAGGGGGAGGGGAGAGGAGGAGAGGAGGGAGGGGAGCGGGCGCCCGGCACACAGGAGAGCCGCATCTAAATTTGTAAAGAGCCGCGGCTTGCCGACCACTGGCCTTGCGGGAGCCTAGCTCCGCGGGCCGGATTAAAAGGTCCGCCGGGCCGTATACGGCCCGCGGGCCGTAGTTTGCCCATTGCTGTGCTAGACTGTGCCTTAGTTGGTACAATAGCCCTCCTGACAGTACCCAGAGAGCCCAGACATTCCTAGCCAAAGTCAGGGTTAACACTGGTATTGGGACCCTTCGCTCTTTTCCAAGTGACAAAAACGGGTGAAGACAGCTAGGCCCCATTCAACACAAGCAGGGACATTGAGCTGTTCAGCTCAGTGCAATCTTTTAAACCTGGCATTTACGGCGTACATTATAACTAAACGGTTTAGATTTTCAAAAACGACATAAAAAGCAATAGGAAGAGTCCTGGATGCAAAATGGTGTGTCTTCCATGCATCCATATTTTAAAATGGCATAGGTCTGAGCATTCATTAAAAAAAAAAAAAAAAAAAGTTTTTGAGGTTAAGGAAGTAAGATCCATGGAATATTTCACACCTAGACTACACGATAACTTGGGTAAGTTTACAGCTGTATGGGACACCTGGAATGATTACTTAACCCTACGCCTTGGTTCACACTGGTGCAACTTCTCATGCTATGTGACAGTGCCAAAACACATGACACGTTACATCCTACTGTCGGCAATGGAGCCGTTCAAAAATCGGTGTGACTGTCGCAGTTGCACAGATTTTGAAAATATTTCCTGCACTATTTTCCGTGATTTCAGGTGCAACTTGCATAGACATCTGTGCATAAAGTCGAACAGATGTCAGGCAAGTCGCACCTGAAATTGCACGGACGTGCAGCTTTGAAATCACGCTACTTCAAGTTAAGTAGCGCAATTTGAAAGTTGAATTCAGTGTTAACCAGGGCTAAGGTCATCCTAACAACCCTGGGCTACAGCACACCGAGAGGTTTTCACTTTCTTTCTGTGGTCTGGAACCCTCTTGTCCTTTGATCGGGATACATTCCACTTTACTTCTACCATATCAGTTGCTTTTTACTGGCATCATGCATCACTCTCCTGACTTTATTGTACTGTATACTGCCCCATTCCGAGTACAGATGTGCCTTCACAGCAGGTCACTCCAGCTGATGTTTTCGTTACTTGGGAAGCTGTTTTCTCGCTATTTCATGATATGCCATCTATACCCAATTCTATGCTGTGGTGATACATGGTTTCTATGGAATGCTCTTTGTTTAGCTCTTTCTGCAGGTTTTCTTTTGTAAAATTTGAAAAGTTTCTTTTTAAATAAACAAACCGTTATAAAAAAAAATATTTTTTTTTTAAATCATAACTGGTAGGCAAAGATTTTGTCTGTAACAGAGGCTCTCAGTGTTATGGCAATGATCAACAGCTGAAGGAGCAGATGGAGCCAGGAAACAGCAAAATGAACAATAATTAGAATAAGGGGAAAATACATGTATGGTAACAATTGAGGAACACAGTTACAGGTACTAAGTTACAACCTTTGCTTGTAATTTTTCACATAGCATTGCACATAAATCTTTGTACTTCTGGAATGACATCAGAATAAATAAAATTCTTCTTATAATTCTGGAATAGGGTTCACAAATGGAACAAAAAGATCATTTATCCTATGCA